CTTAACGTTAACAAAACTAAATTTATTCTATTTCACAAACCAACCAAAACAGGAAATCTTCCTTTAAAATTACCCAATCTTAAAATCAATAATATAAATATTACTAGGCAAACAACTGTAAACTTTTTAGGCATTATTTTAGACGAAAATTTAACATGGAGGAAACATATAAACACTCTTGAAAGAAAACTTTCAATAAACATTGCAATGGTGTATAAAGCAAAACCATTTTTGGATATAAGATCTCTAAAAAGTTTATATTTTTCCTTCATACATAGCTATCTAACTTACGGCAATATCGTATGGGCAAGCAACAGCTACGCTAAGTTAAAGAAAATTTATACTAAACAAAAACATGCATGTATTTGGAGTAAAAAGAACTGTGCCTTGTGAGCCACTTTTACGTAAACTCAATGCATTAAATGTGTTTAAAATTAACATATTCCTCGTCATACAGTTTATGTATCAAATAAAACATGGGCTGTCTCCAGCGATATTCTATCCTTATTTTAGAGAAGTAAGCCATAAATACCCCACCAAGTTCTCAGAAAATAACTTTGTAACTCAAAAGTATAATCTAAAGTTATGTTCTTATTCTATTCAGTGCAGGGGTCCAATTTTGTGGAAAAACTTTCAGCATATTGTTAATATTAAAGAAAAAACACTTCCGCAATTCAATCTAAATTAAGACGTTATTTAGTACTTACGGATTTTAATATAGCAGATCTTCTATGTCACTTTTAAAGCTTTAAAATTTATTAAACTAAATTAGCACCATAAATTTAAAAATCTAGACCATTTAACAGTACTAAGAAGTTCAATGTCTTTATCATACTTTCATTGAATATATAGGAGAGAACCTTAATGAATGGGACAATTATTGAATGGGACAAAATCAAATTTGCATAGAAGCATCTACGGTTGGCTATCCAAACTCCTGTGGTAATAAGTGTTTGACACAACCATTCAACAGACCAAATCTTTATTTCTATTGTGGTCTAAACGTAATGGCATTGGATGTTATTGTGTTTTGAAGAACAATAAGTAATTTTTAAAAACAATTTTCTGTATCTGATTTTGCAGCGATTACTAAAGTTAAGGAAAATGAAACTCCAATTTTCAACACCCAAATGTCTCTACTTTTTAAATTTGTAAAGTATTTTTGTTTAGGTATTACTGTTTTTAACCTGTCCTGTCATTTGTGGATATAGTGGGAAGCCTATTGAATGGGACAAAGTATTGATTATTGAATGGGACTTGTCCAAACAGCCTGATATGAAAAAAGTAGAAAATATATTTCGGCAACTTAGTTATGGTCACACATAATTTTATTTTTAATAAAATTTTTTGTTTTACTAAAAACAATTATTCGTGTTTTTAATTTAATTTTAATATACATATATTTTTTAATAAAACTATTTTAGGTTTGTCAATATATGCAGACATTCGGCCATATTTATAGCTTTTTCGGGTTCCCTAATGGTAGAAACTACCCTTACTGCTTGACTGGCTTGAAAGTTACTTAGGACCTCTCTTCTTTTATTAATTTTTTAGATTTGTCCCATTCAATAATTTTATTTGTCCCATTCAATGAGTAGTTCTTATTGAATGGGACAAATGCCATGGTCTTATTAAACTCTCTTTTTACCAATACCCATATGCGGAATCAATTTTTTTGTTTTTGTTTATCATAGTACGAGAGTTAACAGTTATCAAACTATTTTCAAAGTGATTTTTAAACAAATTTATCAACCTCAAAAAATGCATTTTACGAAAACTGTCCTATTCATTAAGGTTCTCCCCTATATTCTCTTAAAGTTACCTAAAATTTTCTTGATATATTTTATAATATTGGAACAGAATTTTTATTTGAATTTTGAATTATTTTGAAAGAAAATAATATATACAAATATATATGTCGAATCACATCCAATTTATAACCAAAAACAGAAAATTTTTGTCATTTTTATTACTATATTTTAATCATTTCTTTTTATTTTTTTAATTTATCTTCAATTATTTTAATACTTTTTTTTTTCCTTTTTTTTCTTTTTAACTTTGTTTCTTAACATTTTAAATTGTCTTTTTTAAAATACTTTTGCTTATATATTACGGATTATTGTGTATTACGGATATTTATTTGCGTTAATATTGGGGCTCGGTGATAAGGCTATTTTATGCCTTCTTCTTGCTCCAGCCAATTGTACTTTTTATATTGTTGTACTTTGTAAATATTTTTAACGGCGAAATAAACTAATAAACTAAAACTAAAAACTAATAAACTATTATAACAAATTTAGTTTTTTTATACAACCTTAATTAAATTTTTTTTAATTAAAAAATTTTTAGTAAAAGCATTTTAGTTGAAATGAATATATATGTAAAAAAAAATTTATAATATCCTTGTCTGGAAAAAAGTAAAATGCAATTTCTTTTTTGTCACGACCACGACGTAACGGATGTTTCGATGTTTAAATACTTCATTTCGATGTTAATATGCATCGTATAGATATTCAAATGTGTCAAGGAAGAAGATATAATTCGAAAAACCTTAATTAAAACATGCGTTATAAAGTGTAATAAAACAATTGATATAACTGTGTATTAAAAGATTATGAACTAATTTAAATTATAATTTATTTGACATATTCAACATAAAAATACAGGAAACATATAAATTTTAAACAATGCCCAAATCGTACAAACAAGTTTGTCAAGATTATAGACAAAGAAAACTGAATTAAAAGAAATAGAAAAAGAACAAAGTAATATTTGTCACCCACAATCAGAAAAAGAATTGAAAAATTAGGACTTTGCTCCTAATCTTCAAAAAGCTCAAGGTATGAAATCAAGTGAAAAAATATCTTGATGGATTCCGGGTATGAAAGATTTTATAAAAACTGATGGCGAAATATTTCTAAAACGTTACTTGTTACTTAAATTAAGGGAATGTTATGCCCTGTAAGCAAAAGAATTTGGTAGCGAGATAAAATTTTCCAAATTTTGTGTACTTCGTCCAGCTCAAATACTCGTTTATTCAAAGATGCCTCTTGAAATCTGCTAATTCGTGAAAATTTTATTAATATATCGCGAGGTTAAAATTACTTTGTTCTATCTCCACTTTTTGAAAAAAATGAGTTATTAATTGTGTAATGTACCTCAAAATAATGTTTTTCTACTATATTAAAACCTTAGTTAAAATCAAAAAAGTTTCGGAGTTAAAATCAAAAAAGTTTCGGAGTTAAAATCAAAAAAGTTTCGGAGTTAAAATCAAAAAAGTTTCGGAGTTAAAATCAAAAAAGTTTCGGAGTTAAAATCAAAAAAGTTTCGGAGTTAAAATCAAAAAAGTTTCGGAGTTAAAATCAAAAAAGTTTCGGAGTTAAAATCAAAAAAGTTTCGGAGTTAAAATCAAAAAAGTTTCGGAGTTAAAATCAAAAAAGTTTCGGAGAAAACATGAGTAATAAAAATATTTTTGCCGTCTCCTAAAGTTTTTATTTTTTAAATCGTTTTATCTCGAAACAAAAAAATGCGGAGATAGAACAAAATAATTCTAACCTCGCGATATAACGATTTATCCTCAAAACTTGATTTTGAACTTTATAACACAAATTGAGTAAACAAATGGATTCTTTGCAACCCTCTCACTCCAGTTTGCCTTATTGTCATGTAGTTTTTATGCTAACTGTCCTAACAACCGAATGCTACAACCATCCAAAGAGCAAAATGAAGAATGCATTGAAGTCAATTGCATAAATTGGTACAAAAACAAGGTTACAAATCGTCTACAGCAAGGATTGATCAAACAGTTTTTGATCAATCTCTGCAACATATACAGAGTTTTTGAAAATGCTACCTCAATTTCGGATTCATCATTTAGTTAAACAACATCAAGCGTCTGTTTATCGCCATCAAATATTATGGATGGTGAATTATTAATACACTTTGATTTTAGCTAAACCTATTGCTGTACTCATCAAGAACAAGTTCAAAGTTTTCATTGGAGTCTCAAATAACAATATTCACTGTTTCTGATTATGCTAAAGATTTGTAAAATATGATTGCTTATTTAACAGATAAAAACGATCACAACAAAACACGCGACAGTATTTTTCTTAATTAACTTTAAAGGTATTTTTCTTACACTGCTTAACTTTAATATCTTTTATTTTTGAGAGATAACATTTGTAATATATTTTTTAAAGGCTTACGCAACCAATTCAATTATACACAAAGAAACGCTGTAGAGTGATGGTCCATCTTTACAATTTAAGAACCGCTTCATGGTAAAATTCTTGACGTATTGTCAAGTGACATTTAATATTCCAACTAACGAGTGGAACTTTTTTGCTACAGCCCACGGACAAAAAGCCATTGATGGGGTAGGAGGAACTTTAAAAAGAATAGCATGGTAAAAGTTTAAAGCAAGACAAGTTATTATTCAAAATGCGAGGCAGTTTTGTGAAGCTATATGCAAAGATTCGACGGTAAATTTAGCATAATTGACTGATGATGAAATCGATGAACATTACAGCGATACTTTAATGCTAGTAGAAAAGGTTGAATATTTATTATTTAGGTTGAATAATACGAATTTATTATTACTGGAAAGTTAAGAATGATTATTTTTAACATGTAACTATTTGCAGAATAATACTAATATATAGTATATTGACTTGTTTAGTTAAAATGTCTTTTATATTGCAATTTATTTAAATGATTTGTTACGTTTTTTATTAAAAAATTATATTTTTCTAAGGGTAACTATAAACATTGGTTATGTTCACGACTGCGACTTTTAGCTAACTACGATTTTACGTAAAACATGAACAAAAAATATTAAATGGCATTATAGTTAATGTCCCATAAAAATATAGTATATATTAATCCATATTATAAATATAGTATTATGTAGAGAGCCTATATACTCAGAGAGCGGACATACGTGTGATCGTTTTTGATTGGTTGTTCGATTTTTATGATTTTAAACGCCATCTTTTTGCCAAAAATACTAACTGCGAATAAAGTCTACTACTAAATTTGTATTAAATATTTGTAAAAGTATGCCTGGTTGTGCTGCAGTAGGCTGCCATAACAGGCCTGAGAAAGGATTTATTATGAAATGCTTCCCAAGAAATGAAAAACAACGGGCGATTTGGACTTCTAAAGTTAAACGACTTAACTGGATACCTACAAACACAAGCTTTTTATGTAAAGTAAGCATAAGAAAATACAGTTTTATGTAATTAATCCAAGAAATGAGTTATTTTAGAATCCATACAAATACATTATATTCGTTCAATTTTTTTATGAAGGTACACTTTGATGCTAATCAATGGGAAAAAACCAGAGAAGATGGATCAAGAAAACTCAAACATAATGCAATTCCTACTGTCTTTAAACATGTTAGAGCAAAACATAAGCGAAAAATTCCACTCGAGCGTTTTCCAATACCAAAAAAAAGAAAATAAGTTGTATAGAAAGTGGAGAAGTTGTGGAAAATATTTTAATTGAAGTAAATAACAATATAGTATTTAAATCACTTTGCACAACTGAGGTTGATAAAAGTTTACTTATACAAGATTTAAATGCGAAATTGGAGATTAGAAAAAAAAGTCATTAGTCAAAAAAAAATAAATTAACATTTTAAAATCGAAAGCAAGAATAAATACTATTCAAAAATATAATCATATAAAGAGAGATAAATTTAGAGTTTTGAAAACAATATTTAAAGAAGATCAAATTTTATCCTTAAGTAGAAAAAATATGAAATTCATTAAATGGTCAAATGATACCATAAATGAAGCGTTAGAACTCAAATTTACATGTGGTCAAAGTGGTTATGAAAATTTACTTCGTTTAAACTTACCATACCCATCATTACCTACCCTACAACGAAGATTAGAAAATCTAAAATTTCAAAGTAGCATTCTAACAGAAGTCTTTGAGTTTATGAAAACTAAGGTGAATGCCATGAAAATCCATGAAAAAGAATGTGTTTTAATTCTTGATGAAATGTCAATAACTGAAAGTGACTATGACACATCTACAAGCTATTACTATGGAGTTGTTACATTACCTGAACATTATGGCCAAGCTAACCATGCTTTAGTTTTTATGCTTGGAGGAATATCTACAAGATGGAAACAAACTGTTGCATATTATTATACTGGAAATTCTGTTAATGGGGGTGTTTTAAAAAACATTGTCTTATCTATAATAAAGTATACTGAAGAAATAGGATTAAAAGTTAATAGTGTTACTTCTTATATGGGTGCCATTAACCTGGCAATGTGGAAATCTTTTAATATTAGCTGTACTAAAAGTGGCAGTATTTCTAGTTCAATTAAACACCCATGTGACCCTACTGATTTTTGATTTTTTAGCAGACGTACCACATTTATTAAAGAATATAAGAACATCTCTTTTATGTAACAAACATTTTATAATTTTTTTTTTTAATTTTGCTTACATTAAAATGTCAAAGTACAATTATATATGCCATATATATCGTGTTACAATTAAATTCGTGTTACAACATTTATCAACTAAATTAAAATAAGGAAAAACACGGACATACATATATAAATATAAGCATATATACACATACAAATGCGTAGATGCGCACATACATAAACTGCTTACAATGAAACATAAGCTAGGATCTGAAAGAAGATCACAAGATCTTGTCATCAGAACCTTATAAAGCACAAACAAGCAAAATAAATACCAGTATAAGATACTAAAAAATAAAGTAAAAATTAAAATAAAGTACTGAATTCAAGTTGTATAACAATTTTCAAAATATTAGAAGTATCTGAGTATATTATCAAGTGAAATAATACATTTTTTTAGATTGAGCTTGAAAAGGTAAAAGGAAGTTGGTAAATCAAAATTCTGCAAAACTATATTATTCCATAGGTGGGGTCCACGATAAGCAATGCAAAATTGATTAAATTTTGTGTGACAAAATGGTTCTTTTAAAAAGTTTATGTTTCTCATGTCGTATTTGTTGTTAGGTTTGAGTTTGAAAGTATTATTAAAAACGGTAGGGGATTGATTATTTCTCCATAGATATACAAAACATAAAACTTTAAATACATTGAGTTCAAATAAATTTAACAATCTCATTTCAGTAAAAAGAGGTTTTGTGTGTGTAAAACAATCGGCATAGTTAATTATGCGGATCGCATGCTTTTGACGACGATAAAGAAGTTTTAACTTACTTTTTCCAGTACTCCCCCAAGCAGTGTTGGCATAATTTATGTAACTGTGGATAAAAGAGTAATAAAGTTGTTTTAAGCAATTTTTATTTAGGTAGTTACGAGCTTTATATAGAATCCCAATGTTTTTTGAAATTTTGGTAGATATATAACTAATATGTTGATTCCAGGAGATGTTTTCATCGAGATAAACACCTAAGAATTTTGTAACGGAATCATTTTTTATTTCAATTTCGTCAATAAAAAGTTTCGGCAAATTTATTGGTAAAAATCGCTTTTTTACCAATAAATTTGCCAATAAAGAGTCCATTTGGTTTTATTAATATTTAAAGTTAGCTTATTACATTTAAACCAGTTTGATTTATGTTTTAATTCTTTATTCATAGTAGTAAAGAGTTCGTATATATTACTGTTTGAGAGGAATAGATTGGTATCATCTGCGTACATAATGCTTATAAGGTTAGAAGCTTTATTCAGATCATTTATATATATCAAGAAAAGTAGGGGCCCGAGGATTGAACCCTGAGGAACACCGCAGACGATATCAAGACAATTATTTTGATAGCCGTCGTTACTAATTACAAATTGTTTTCTTTTTGTTAAATAGCTTCTAAACCATTTTAAGGCAATACCATTAATTCCATAATATTCAAGTTTTTGAAGCAGAATGTGATGATCTACCGTGTCGAAAGCTTTTGATAGGTCAATGAAGATACCTAATAAATACTGTGATTTTTCAAAAGATTTTGAGATTTCATGCACAAACTGGATTATTGCATGCTCTGTTGAGTTATTTTTTTTAAAACCAAATTGTTTGTTGTACAGTAAGTTATTTTTGTTGAGATGTTTGTATATTCTATTAGACATTATTCTTTCTAAAATTTTTGAAAATACCGAAAGAACAGAAATGGGTCGATAGTTGCTAATATTTGATCTGTCGCCTTCTTTAAAGATAGGAGTAACTTTAGCAACTTTTAATTGTTCTGGAAAAATTCCTTGATTTATAGAAGCTCTAAAAACTTTAAAAAGAATATGTTTTAATATATCGAAACAATCTATAATTACGTTTCCATTAATTTCATCTGCTCCTGTTGCTTTGTTTCTTTTCACAGAATTCAAAGCTACTTCAAATTCCTTAAAAGATAATTCTGAAGATATCTCATCAGAGCAAATGCAATTATTCATAGGTACAAGAAAATCATTAAAAGAAGCCGTCGTATTTGAAATCCTATTTGATAAGGAAGGACCTATCCCAATAAAAAATTTATTAAATTCATGGGATATGGCTCTTGGGTCATATAAACTTATGTTATCAACTTTAATCATCTGCGGCAGAAAACCTAAGCACGATTTTTGTTTTCCAGTAATTTCTTTCATAATTTGCCATGTGCATTTTAAATCGTTTTTAAATTTATTAATTAGTTCTGAGTAGTAATTTCTTTTTAAGTTTTTACGTATTTTTTCAAATAGATATTTGTAGTTTTTGTATATTTTTTCGCTAGCAGATGTTTTTGTTTTTAAATATTTAATATACAACTTCTGTTTAATTTTTGATGATTTTTTTAATCCCTTCGTAATCCAGGGACTTTTTGAGCTTTTGTTAATTTTTATTATTTTTTCAACAATTGGAAAATTAGCGTCGTAAACGGAAAACAATGTTTTATAAAATGCTTCGTAGATGTTATTTGCATTGTCATTAAAATCAATATGATTCCAATGGAGCAAAGATAGTTGATCTTTAAATAGCTCAAAGTTTTTTTGTTTAAAGACACGTTTTCTTACAACTGTAGGGGTGTTAATATTTTTTTCTAAATTTGAGTTTATAATAAGGAATATAGGAAAATGATCGGATATATCAGTTTTTAAAATACCTTTTTGAATATCTTTATTAAAAATATCAGTTGTAATGATATTATCTATTAGGGTAGCCGAGTTTATTGTTACCCTAGTAGGGCGATTAATTAAGGGTATAGACCCTGTTTCAAAAAGTGTGTCATAAAATTTTTTAACTTTATACTCATCGTTATAAAGAAAACAATTCATATTAAAGTCCCCAATTACAAAGCTCTTTTTTTTTTCTGCGTCGCTGGTATTCACGATATGTTGTAAAAACATGCTTAAGTTTTCACTCACGCCGTCAGGTGGTCGATAACAACAGCTTAGTAAGGTTTTTGTTTTTTCGAGTAAAAGTTCAATTGTTAAAACTTCTTTATCGCCATCGGAGACGCTTAAATCGTTTCTCATATTATAAAAGATACTTTCATTAACATAAATTAGAAGCCATCCACCTCGTTTACTCGTTTTTCTTTCTTGTGAGATAATTTTAAAATGAGGAATATTAAAATTATTGTCAAAATCGTTTAATGTAACCCATGTTTCAGTTAAGCAAATGATGTTGAATAGATTTTTTGTTTCTTCTAATAAATTTAAAAGTTTTTCAAAATTCCGATTTAAGCTTCTTATATTGAGGTGGAGAATTCTAATTTGATTGGAACTTTTTTTAATTGCATTCTGAAAAAGAAAACCTTCAAGCTCTTTAGGATAAAAATAAGCACAATCCGTAAAAGTATCGTAATAAAAATTATTATCTGGGTCTATGTTTTTATCAGAGGAAAAGTGGTTTCCTTCAAAAAAATTAAAAGAAATGGATTCAAAATCGTTCATAAAAGCCATGATTATTAAAATTAGGTTAAGGGTTTCTTTTTTAGAATGCGTAATTCGATTATTTGTTTGGAACGTTTTTTAAAATATTAGTTTTAAAAGAAATAATTTTATCGTAACGAACCGAAACATTCTCACCGTTTAAACGTCGTTCTTTTACTTCCGCAAATAGTTTTCTTCTGATTGCAACTGTTTCGCGAGAAAAATCCTCGTTTACATAAATGTTTGTTCCTCTGAGACGAGCTGATTCTTTCAAAATTTTAACATTGTCTTTGTATTGTTGAAGTTTTAAAACTATCACCCTCGAACGTCCAACTTTTTTTGGCCCAGTGCGATGTGCTCGTTCAATTTCAATACTCTTTATACCCAGTTTTTGTAGAAAAAATGAATGAACTTTTTCTTCGGTTTTGTCCCAAGATTCTACTTCGTCTTCACATATTCCCTCAATTCTCAAGTTATTTCTCCGCGATCTATCTTCGAGGTTACGGATTTTTTCGTTTAGAAATTCGTTATTAGTTCTTTCTTTCTCTAATTGTTTGTTGATGTCGATTTTGTTTAAAAAATGTTTGTTGTTACTTTCAATCTTTTTATCAATTACGTGTTCGTTGAAGTTTAAACTTTCTTTTATATCTTCAAGCTCTATTTCAATTTTTTTAATCTTGTTTGCATTTTGAGTGATATTTTTCTCAAATTTATCCAATCGTTCGTTTAATATTTTTGTATTTGCACTAATAATATCAATTACTGTTTTTTCTTGGTTTTTTAATAAAACTAAAGTTTCCTTTTTAAAATCATTAAGCATTTCTTTCATCATTTTTTTATTTCTTTAAGTGTTACAGCCATACCTGATGTTGATAGGATCTTTTTAGTTAGTAGATTCGTAGGTTTTTTAGTTGTTTCTTTATTATACTTCAATTCCGTAGACTTTATTTATTTATTTACTTTTTTCTAGTCGATAACTTTTATTTAATTCAGTAGAATTTTTAATACTTTTCTGCGCACAAAAGCGTCTGCGCACAAAAGCGACATTTTATAATAACAGCTAAGATTCAAGAAAAATATAAACTTTAATCGCCAATTATAGATTCAAAACACCTTAACAAGCTTGTAGACTTTCAAGAAGGTATGGATTTGAAGTTTGCTTACAAGCTTACATCTTGATGAAAAACATTTCAACAAAATGAAAGTATCAAGAGCAACATCTGTAATGAATTATGATGTAAGTTGTGGATTAAAATTTATTGCAAGTGAAATAAAAGATGATTCTATTCTCACAAGTGCTTGGTTTATAGGAATTGTTGATAAATGGTTTACATTAATGACTTCACGAAACCCAGGTATGGCTCTTAGCATGAAAAATGACAAAGTTTACAATGAAACAATAACTTTTTTAAATGAAATCATAGAGATATTCAATGGTTTAAAAATATTAGGCTAAACTGGAAAAATAAGGTGGAAACCTATTCAATCTGGTGTTATATTATCAACAACATCAGTTATTAACTTGCAAAATAAGTTTCTTCTAGAAAAAAAGTTTGATTTTCTAATGACATCACGATTTACGCAGGATTGCCTGGAGAATCTTTTTTCCCTGGTACGTGCAAAACAAGTAATTCCTACTGCTCTTCAATTTAAAAATAACTTGAAACTTATTTGCGTTGCCCAATTCTTGAAAAAATCATCAAAAGGCAGTTATGATATAGATGACCGTCAATTTTTATCTGGTTTTCTTGATATAGTTAATAGTAAGGTGCATAAGCCACAGCAAAGAGAGTGCATTTTGTTACCTAAAGATTGGGATAAAACCTCTAACTTAATCTTAAGTAATGCTGAGCAAAATTGTTTGTTTCATATTGCAGGTTATATAATTTCTAGAGTTAAAAAAATTGAAAAAGTTTGCACAATTTGTTTTGAATCTCTAGTTTCTAAAAATAGAGTTAATGCTGATTACACAAAGTTTGTTACAGACAAAGAGCACAAAGTGGTAGTCTATTTTTTGCTAATGAAACAACATTTGCATTCTTTTTACAAACGGAATTAATATTCAGATCTTTTGAGCCATACCTTAATTCCCAAAAGAATTGTAATACTATGCTTTTAGAGAAAATTAATTCTGATGAACAAATTAAAAGTCTAACTTTGTATCCTAGTTGTTATCAAATTAAATTGAATCTAAAAAACAGGTTTATAACATTCAGACTTTTTAGAAATATTTAGCCATAAAAAAAAGCGTTTATTATGTAAAAAGAAAAAAACTAAAAAAGGTTCTTGTGAACTTGGCAGCAAGAGTATGACAATGGATGCATTGGCACCTAAGGTTTAGGTTCAACTAATTTATAAAATAAACTGTAAAGCTTTTTTCAAATTACTTATTGATTACAACTACTTTTTTGCTGTTTTTTTTTAAAGGTATTTCGTGAATAAATAAATAATTTTGTCGAAAAATAATTTTGAAAAAATAAAACATAAAAAGGTTTAATTTTTAAAAATATATTTCTGTTGAAAATATTATTGTGCTCATTTTCTTTCAATTGTTTTTACTTGAATTCGTGAATGTCATACGCTAGTTTGGCAAAAAACATGGCCGCCGTTCTTCCGTATGTCCGCTCTCCGAGTATATAGGCTCTCTAGTATTATGTCCCATAAAAAATAATTAACTTTTAATTTGTTAAGTCTTCTTCAAAAATACAAAATTACTCTAACAAGTTGTTTCTGAAGTCACGACAGCGACTGATATTATTTAAACATAAGGACTCAACTATGGCATACTATTTACTGTAAATTTTTCAGAAAGTAGTACGCAACCAAAATCAATAAAAAGACAACAAAAATAATAACAACCAAAAACAAAACAAACAAAAAAGGTTCATTACTAATATTTTAACCTTTTGCAGTAGATGTCACGACCGCGATTATGGAATGACCCAACAATTTAATTTTTTTAAATTAAAATTTTTGTGACGGCGTTTTGCAGATTTTTGCTCCTTAAACACTTTAGAAACTAGCGATTTTGAATCAATTTTAAAGACGTTGCCTAATGTGGGAGCTTATTCTTAGATAATTGATTCCTTTTCTTACATAATACGAATAAACTTTTTTTTTAATTAAAACCAATAATTCAGATTAAAGCTACATTTAACAATTAATATTTAAATAAATTTAATAAATTTTATAGGGCACCCTCTACTTAATAAAAAATTTTGAAACCCTTAAAAAATAACTATATAAATAGGCTTTCCTTATGATTTAACACTGTATAAAAGCTAAGTTGTCCTAATAGGGTTGGAACCAAAAATGTGGTCGGAATTTGGTCACTACACACCCTAAGCAAAACAAACAAAAAAAAATGATCCCTTAGCAATATATTTCAGTAAAATATTACTGAGAAGACCGTGTTACTTGCCAGACACGGATAAGATTATCAGTATACCCTGCAAACAATGTTTGGCCATCAGCTGACCAAGCTAATGAAATACAATCAGCAGCTCTAGATTTAGTACTAATACCAATTACTCCGGGTTTTAACTCATCAACAACAGATTTCATTTCCAAATCCTAAAACAACCATAATATTTTATTAATGTTAGAATTAACAATTCAAAATATGCAGCCAAAAAAGCTTTTATTCCAAAAGTAATAAAAAAAACAACAACACACATACACAAATTATATATTAAACACTAAACTACTAAGAAAAGAACTTACCCAAATTTTAATCATAGGACCAGTTGCAGCACACAACCAGTACCTGTTGGGACTAAAGCACAAGGCGTTGATTACATTTCCGCCATCAAGAGTATACAAGTGTTTTCCTTCATTCAAGTCCCACAACATAGCATTGCCATCTTTGCCACCTGAAGCACAAAGAGAACCATCAGGTGAAACAGTCACAGCATTCAAATAACCAGTGTGGCCAAAATGATTGGTCTTGAGCTTGCAATTTGTCAAATTCCAAACCTTGAAAAAATTTATAAAATGATAACAAAACTATTTAAAAAAGGTTTTATCTTAAGATTTACAAACTCTAAAAACTAATGATTAATAAGATTTATATTTGCCAGGGCTTGACAATTTTTTTTTTTAACATTGACATTTATAATATTTATTGTTAAATGTGCACATTCTTCTTTGTTACTGTGAACATATTTCAGCTGGAATTTTATCATATAATATAAGAAAATTACTTATAAAACAAAAGATAAACTTTTTTAAAGACTTTTTCTTGTGTATATATTATATTCTGCTTGTGGTACATTTGGAGTAGGATGGAGTAGGTATGAAATTAGGTGAAAATAAATTTAACTCTTTGAACTGGATTATGCGCCAGCCTGTACTTGAATCGGTGAATGTTAAAAGGGCGGAAGTCTATCTATAAAAACTTTCGGGAAACTGAATAAAACTGCATTTTCCCCCGTAGTAAATTTATAATAGTTTAATAATTTTTTTGAAGAGGATATTTTTCACCTTAAAAAAAAAATTATTTAACCATTAACAAAAATTTACTATGGGGGAAAAAACAGTTTTTTTTTTAGTTTCCTGAAAGTTAACATTATTCAGTGACTTTACTAAATCAAAACACTAACTGCAACAAGAACACAAAAATCATAATTTTTTAAGTCGTCTTTGTTGTAGCCAATTTAAGTAAAATGTCTTTACAAAAATTAAAATGTCACAGTATGAAAAGTTTTTGAATAGTTCTGTATGATTTTTTTTTGTGTATACAAATGATTATAATTTTTAAAGTAAAAATTCTATTTGGTGCAACATCACAACAAAAAAGCAAAGATGTTATGTAATCAATGTAAAACTTTATACAATATCAAAATACTTTTGCATTTAAACAAATATGTTTTCTTTAAAAAAATTTTTTACAAGATCGATTTTTGTAACAATTTTATTTATTTATTATTTTAGAGGTCAGCTCAGGTCGGCAAAATGATATCAAAATGAGGTCAGAAATTTTTTTAAAATTAGTTTGGTTTTTTCTGAGCATTCTTAAAATGCATTATTTTTAATATATGCAAAAAAATTGTGGCCAAATTATCAACAAAAAAATATACGCGTGGTCATTAAAGGCATGCAACCGCTTGCGTCTCCTGAGAAAGCCTGTAATATCAGACAACAACCAAGTTATTAATTCTATAGCACTTATAAAACAATAGTATGTCATATAAATATTGACATATTATAGTTCATAACCCTGCTTATTAGTGGGTTAAATTGAATTTAATTGTCCTTATATTATCTCCTAGTCTAAGGTTTTTCATAGGATAGCACAGTGCAAAACTTAATTTTAATTATTAAATTTAAAAATGGTGAAGAATGTAATAATCTAGATAAAAGTTTTTTAATAATTTTTTTTTGTTTTTTTGAAAAATGTACTTGTTAAACAACCTACTGGATTTTGTACTTTTGCACAATTGTTTATAATAATTAAAAAAAAAAATTATATACAAGCTATTTTTATTTCATTTTCATTATTAATTTTGTATTTACTTTATATAATTTTGTTAATTTGACATTGTGTATAAAAGCAATATTTGCTTTAAAAATTTATGTTCTAGATTTTTAAAATTCTAAAATTTTTAAAGTAGTTAATTTTTTTATTAAAAAATTATAAAATCAAAGAAAGTTTGTATTTTGTGAATCAGAGATAGACAAAGGAAAGAGCACTCACATTAACTGAAGTGTATTTGCATTAAATTCTTGTTTAAAAGGTTTACTTACTAAAAGATTATGTAATCATAACTAACACATTTACATCCAAATTTTTGGGATTTTTATAAATTCGAAATTCTAATACACTGAGAATTTATTATCAGGTATATACTTTTATATAACTTTTTACAGGCATCATTTTCTCTACCATAATCAACCAAATAATAACACTAAATAGAACTTATTGCTTACCTTGACCATTTTATCCCAGCCACATGACACAATGATTGGATTTTGTGTGTTTGGGGAAAATCTTACACATGAAACCCACTCTGAGTGACTTTCATCTTGAATTGTATACTTGCATTGTCCAAGAGTGTTCCACAACTTAATAGTATTATCACGAGAGCCAGATACAATTTGGCGGTTATCAGCTGAAAATGCAACACTCAAAACATCCTTTGTGTGCCCAACAAATTGCTTAGTCGTAATTCCCCTATTAATATATTTAACATAAGTAAAGAGTAAGGTTTAAATATACAAAGCATTTTATTTTAAAAGTTTCAGTTTATTTTTATGCACATAACTAGGTTTAATAACATTAATAACATTTTTATGCACATAACTAAGTTTAATAACATTAAAGCAAGTTATGATAAAATAGTACTTTTAATAAAAACTCGTATTAATAACTTCATAACACATCTTTAAATGTACTGAGTACAAAAAATGCTTTAGCTATTAAACTGTAAATTATTTATTTCATGCATAGCTGTTCTATTTTAACTGACATTATATTATAATAAAACGTCTCAACATACTGATTTAGGTCCCAAAGACGCAATGTCTTGTCCCACGAACAGGAAAGTGCAAACTGGCCATCTGAGGAAAGGACTACATCAGAAACAAAATGGTTATGCCCAGTTAAACATTTTTTTGGGAACCCATAATTTGTTTGATCATCTCTTGTCAGCTGCCACTGAATAAGTGTTTTATCTAAATTAATACTGATCTTTAAAGTCGTTTTTAAAAATTTTGCGAGTCTTCTATTATAATCATGATTATGCTTTAAAAGGGAATCTCGAAATAAATTTTATATACAGTTACAAGTTAGATTAAACAAAAAGAGAATCAAGAGCACAACTATTCTTTAAAGTGAGGTAAAAAGATTTAACGAATCTCAAAAACTGACGTGATTTTTATTTAATTCTAATGCAGTTTTAGAAGTAAAATACCTCGGGAGGCTGAAAGAATTAAGTCGGGATTTTGAGGTGTTGTTGCAATTTGCGTTACCCAGCCATTATGGCCTTTTAGTGTTCCACGTAAAGTCATTTGCTCCATTCTTGATTGCAGGGATCCTTTCGGATTTTATTTAGTAGTTTTAACAGCGATCGTCTCGCTCGCAAATATAAGAAAGGACTGTAAGGTCACATTTGCGAATAAATCAGCGCTTGCCTCGATAACTTTAAAATTATGTTATTTTATGGGAACAATAGTTTGGAAGGTTAAGTTGTGTTTTTTTAACTAAGCAAAATGTTTTGTTTCAGTGATTTTTTACAAAATAGCCGAATTATATAGATGACTTTAGTATTAGTTAATTGTTTTCATTATGTTTCTAAATAGTATTTTAAAAATAACTTTTCATTAATAATTCATTTTCACAATAATAATAATTTTAATAATAGCAATAATATTAATAATAATAATAAAAAAAATTATAATACTAATGATAGCTATAAGTATTATAATAATAATAAAAATATTTGGAGAGGAAGAGAGAAAAATGGCTTTTATTCATGCCATGTGGTTCTTCCAAGTTGTATATATTTTAATTTTATTGAAACAAACGAAAAAATTAATTTAAAAATAAAGAGTAAAAATATATATATATTTTAATTTTTTAACGGAATGGAATAATGGTTTAAAGTTGAATAGCATTATATTAAAGGGGCACAACTCCATTAAAAAGTTTAAATAATTTAAAAAAATTTATTTTTCAAAGATACACTTAACTTTAGCCAAATTTTCGTAGAAACTGTTGGGGATATTTATTTCTTCCAAATAGATACTGAAATTGGTCAGAATTTTAATATTTTTGATCTTTGATGTTTTAAGCCCCTAGTATGCATTTATAACAACCGTTTTTAAGTACCTTAATTCATTTTTTTTAGCTCTTTTATAAAGTTGATTTAAGATTTTTATTTGTTTAAAAGACATAATGTTGGGAAATCACGAGGTTTTTCCAGTTGGCTTACTGATTTTAATATTCTTGCCGAAAATTGGTTTAAATATATGTTTAATTTTTACTTTTATAATAAGTTTTACTGAAAGCTCTGTTGTTTTACTGAAAGTTTTACTGAAACCTCTGTTGTTTTACTGAAAGTTTAACTGAAACCTCTTTTGTTTAACTAAAAGTTTTACTGAAACCTCTGTTGTTTTACTGAAAGTTTTACTGAAACCTCTGTTGTTTTACTAAAAGTTTTACTGAAACCTCTTTTGTTTAACTAAAAGTTTTACTGAAACCTCTGTTGTTTTACTGAAAGTTTTACTGAAACCTCTGTTATTTTACTGAAAGTTTTACTGAAAGCTCTCTTGTTACAATTAAAGAATAAACAAAACTAATCATGTTTGGACAGTTTGTTGACTATGTATCGAATTGTGCAGTTAATCTCAATACTATATAAATATTTGTGTTAAAAACCAAAATATAGCCACTTTTTAGTCTCCAGGTGGGGGGAGGGGGGTTCAAATCAGCATTGCGTTTAAATTAATAAAAGAAATGAAGCACAGTCTTAAGGAATTAGTTAGTAATGAAGTTTTTTGAGGTTCTTGTATACCTCTAACATCAAGCTATTTATATGCAAAATTTTATTCTATGTGATCTCTTACATTTTGGAATATTTTTGCCACAAAATTAGCAATTTTTAATTTTCCGCCACCTAAAAATTGGCCCCATGGCAATTCCATTTTTTTTTTTTTTTTCATTTGTATTATATATTTACTGTATTAGTTCTAAATATTGTTTAATTATCAATACTGAAGATTTTTTTGTCATTGGGGTTGTGTCCCTTAAAATAAAGTACGTAATTATTTACATAATATTGCCAGCGTAAATACAGCAAAAATGCGTGAATAAAACTTGCAAGCAACAATGTCAACATTGTGTTTTAAAAGTGTGAGTTTTAGCAGTCATGACGCAGATTCTTGAGCTCCGGCTAAGTACTAAGAGGTTTGGTGCCGGTTCGGGTCAAATAATGTTAGTGTTTGGCGATGTTGGTGAGAAAAGAGGCCTTTAAGTTTGGTTAAATGTTATTTCCACGGTGCTCTGTAATGAGACCGTTAGATTATTTTGAAGCACTTTAATAATTAAAAAAAAAAAATAGTATTTGAATGTGAAACATTTTTAAGCAAAAATGTACACAAACTCAATCATTCAAACTACAATCATTGTGAAAACTGTATTATTAAATCAGAAAAAGAGAGAAAAAATCCAGATGAAATTTTTGATTTCAGATCAGAATGGACAAAAATGTATACTTTCATTTCAAATGCTACTGGTCATCATGTTAAATATGTAATGAAAGGTTGTCAAATAATTAGAAGACAAATCTTGAACGTCGTTTTGTAACAAAACACTGTAGCTTTACGAAAATATATTCATTTAGCAACAACAGAATAGCGCAAGTAGTAAAATTTCAACAAATTACGTAACGTTTATCTTTGAGATTCAATAAATGAAAATAGTCTTCAAATAGTCTCAAGAAATAATGAGGCCTGAAAAACTTTTTACCTTATGTAAATTTTTTTATTTTTTTTTATTTTATTTATTTCGTCAGTAAAAAAAAGAATACAATGCCGTGTAATATAAATTAGATCTACATGACCGGGGTTAAAAGAAGACAATACTTGCCTTATCACTACACCCCGACGTGCTTTCATAAACAAGCGTATACAACCATTAAAAGTTAAATATACAATTACTTTGTGCCATTTAAAAAATTATATACAATTATTTACAAGTATGTTAAGACTAGTTACTAACCTATAATCAAAAGAAAATAGTAAAAAGAAATTAAAAAAAAAAAAAAATCAAAACTATAGATACGCTAATAGGATAGTTTATAGAGTTAATAAGATAATTGTTAAAAATAAAGAAAAAATAAAAATAAAAAATTTTTAAAAAGAATTTAATTCATTAACATCGTTAATAAGTTTTTGTTTCAATTTTTTTTTTGAATAGGTAAAGAGAAGAACAATTTTTCAGCTCGTCACTTAATAAAGCGTTCCATAATTTAGGACCTCTTATAGCAATAGAAAACTTGGTAGCCAAATAATGCTTTTTAGGTTGCTCATAATTGTACTTAGAAAATCTTGTAGGGTACATGTGATTAATTTTATTGAAAAGTATACTAAATATTATAGGTGATATTTTATTATGAAGTTTATACATAAAAATAAGAATTTGATAAAGGTTTAACTGAAAACATTGAGTATGTGAAGATTATTAAATAGTTCTTTAGTATGTGTGAATCGACCTGCATTTAAAATAATTCTGACAGCATGTTTTTGTTTACTAAGCAGTTTTTTAATTTTACTTATATTAGAGCTGCACCAGGCAATGTTTGCATAGTTTATATAACAATGTATAAAGGAGAAATATAACATTTTTAGGCAGTTTTGGTTTAAAAACTGCTTGGCTTTGAATAGTATACCAATATTTTTTGAAACTTTATTTTCTATTGTACTTATGTGTTCTCTCCATGTTAAGTTTTTATCAAATATCACTCCTAAAAATTTTATTAATGACTCTCTAATTATTTTAGAGTTGCCAATATAAAGATTAGGAAGTTTTAGTGGAATGTTTTCTTTATCGTGAACTCTATAAAAAGAAGTATACTTAGTTTTATTTAAATTTAAGGACAATTTGTTCGCCTTGAACCATTCCGCTAGACTTAAAAGTTCTTTGTTTACTATTTTAAATAAAAGTTTAATATCTCCATTAGAGTAAAATAAATTCGTGTCATCTGCAAATAAAACAGAGTTTAAAATGTTTGAAAACTTATGAAAATCGTTTACATAAATAAGAAATAAAAGAGGACCCAGAATTGAACCTTGGGGAACACCGCAATTTATTGTCATATAGAAAGATTTTCCTTCTTCGTATGATATGTATTGTTTTCTATTGTTTAGATAACTTATGAACCAATCTAAATATGTGCTTTTAATACCATAACTTTCGAGTTTTTTTATAAGAATATTATGGTCTACTGTATCAAAAGCTTTGCTAAGATCTATAAAAACTCCAAGAGTAAACTTTTTCTTGTCAAATGCTTTAAATATATCATGAACAATATTAATAATGGCATGGTCAGTTGAATTACCTGGCTGAAATCCAAATTGTTTATTATATAAAATATTATTTGTATTTAAAAAATTCAAATTCCGATTATACATAATTCGCTCTAAGATTTTTGAGAAGCAAGGGAGAATTGAAATTGGTCTGTAATTTTCAGAATTAGAAATATCTCCTGATTTAAAAATAGGTATAACCCTTGCAATTTTAAGTTTCTCAGGATAGACACCTTGTTTTAAAGAGAGATTAAAAATATGTAAGAGAGGGATTGTCAAGTATTTTATTGATTTTTTTATTACATTACTACTAATATTATCAACTCCTACACTTTTGTTTTGTTTTAAAAGATTTACTGCATCTATAAGTTCATTTTCAGTAATTTCATAAATATCCATTTTAGAGGTCTTATTAGGAGTAAGATATGTCTCAAAAATAAAGTAAAAAAAAATATGTCTCAAAAATAAAGTAAAAAAGATATGTCTTAAAAATAAAGTAAAAAAGAAAATAATTTAAAAAAAAATTAAAGATATTCCTTTTTTTGCAAAACAGTTCATGACAGAACCATAAAAATGGTAGAGAAAGTGGCATTTCAACAAGTTTTTGATTTAAAATCATCCCCTGTTTTTTATTTGGCGTATAATGAGTCATGTAACATTAAAGATACCATGCAAATTGGATTAGTTTGACGAATTGTTTCCAACCACGGTATACAAAAAGAACTGTTAGCTTTGATTCCGCTCTAAGAACAAATCTGTTGAGAAGAAATTAACTCCTAAATATTCAAATATTTGATAAAAAAATTAAATTGATCCAAATAAAGTAATATCTAATGCTACAGACGGTGCAAAGAATACGGCTGTTATAGTTAAAAACTTTGTGGTGTGTTACTGACCTTTTTAAAATAGGTAGTTAACACAATAAATTTATTGCTGATTGATGAAATAATAAAATCGATGAAGTAATAAACTTGATGAAAGAAAGCTTGATCTATTGTTGCATAACTAAGTACATTTGCTATCTATGGGAGTGTTATTAACCGATTCGGTCAATATATCGAACATTAAACATTTTTGTCGTAAAAATTTTTCAAATACCCGGAGTTTACTTAGACTCTATTTTGCAACAGATATGACAGTCGTCTTAACAATCTCAATAAAAAATTGCAAGGACTAAGCAATACTGTATATATAAATTGCAAGGACTGCAATTTTGTTTTAGAAAAGTTAAATTTTTATTTAACTTTTTAAAGTTAAATAAAAATTTAACTTAAATAAAAAAGTTAGTTATCGGTGTTTATTTAAGGTATCAGTAAAAAAAGTTTAATTAAGTTCTTTTTTTATTTTTACTTTGTCTTCAAGAAGTTTTATTAAAACTTTGTACTTTAAATAAAGCTAGAAATTTTAATATAAAATTATTTTTAAAAGTTATTGAAAAAATCAAAGATTCCTTTTACAGAGTTCAAAAAAGAAAAACGCATTTTTAAAATCTAATTCTTTTATATATTATTAAAATACAAATTTTGCAATCAATTTTTCTGATATTACTGTTTTATTTTATTACCATTCGGCTGTATGCGTGTGTAAAAAAAAAAAAAAAAAAGTTCAGGAAGAGGCAGGTCTCGAACCACAGACATTTTTTTTGTTGTTGTTCTTTTTATTACATTTTAAATAAGCATTTCGTTACAATACTTAAAATACAAATATAAAATAATAAAAAAAATATATATATAATGGTCGTTATTAAAAAATTAAAGAGCACGGGGAATCGTAGAAGACCCTACGATCTTGTCGTCGAGTACCACTAAAAAAATGTTCGTGTTAAAATTAATAAGATATTTACAAGATAAAAAATAAGTTAACAAAGTAAGAAACTTAAAATAGTCCGTTATAAATACAAGATGCGTTATAACTATTATATATGTAGATTACAGTTGTTAATGATACATATTTTTATAAATTCATGTTAAAATAGAAGGTAAAAAATTACTAAAAAATATCAGAAGTATATTGTTAAATCTTCAATTTAAAAATGAGTTCTTTAAGTATAAAAGAAAAGTAGTTACTTTGATGAATAAAATCCTCAGTAAAATTTTTTAAAACTATTTTATTACATAAGAATGGTCCGCGATAATCAATACAAAACTTTGTTTGAAAGATGGGCTGCTTAACAAAATTATGATTGTGTAAAATTTATTTATTTTTTATCTCTTAATGAATATAAGTTATGGAAAGAAATCGGGGATGTTTTACATTTAGTTTTACATTTAAACATAAAACAAAGAAAATTTAAAATATTAGGCTCATATATATTAAAAACTTTCATTTCCAATAATAGAGGCTTGACATGAGTATAACAGTCTTTAAAATATATAAGACGTACTACATGCTTCTGCTGACAATAAAGAGGTTTAGTTTATTTTTATTTGCACAAACCGACATTTTGTTTACAAAAATTAACGTCTTATCTAATTTTTTTGAATTTGATTTGAGGCTTTTAAGTAAGAACAAATAATATACTTAATTAAAATTAAATGAATTAATTGACTTATTGCAAAACTAATTATTAAATATTGCATTGTCATCGAGCAAGAGTTAATAAAAGCATCGGGAAAAAATTACTTGGCCATTTTTGTCTTATTTACTTTCTGTAAATACTAACAAAACAAATTTTAAACTGCTCCAAAAGGTCAGTAGCGCTCAATTTTAACTTCAGTTTATAGAATTGAAATCAAAAAATGTTTTTTTTTAAATTTACAACTTTGTAAACAGAACTAAAAAACTTGGAAAGAAAAAAAAAATTGTAGTAGATCCTAAATGAAAAAACTCTAGCGATTATCTCACTACTCTTTTTGTTGAAAATAATTTATTTTTTATTTACTTTACAATATGTAAAAAGAATTATATAACTATCATTGAATACCATAAAATAATAAGTTTTTGGTTATGAATGATCTCTTGGTGCAGGGGCGGATCTAGGATTTATTTTTCCTTTGGCGATTTTTTTTTAATATTACCGCGCCCTCCCCCTTTTTTTTGTTTTGTTATTAAGGTGTTTTAAGAAGTGCTAATGGTCTTGTCACAGAGCACCACCGCAAAGACAATAGCATTTATGTTGGCTCTCCGTTTCCAACCTTACCGATAACCTTTATGTGCTTCGAGTAGGGATCGAACTCGCAACCCTTAGATTACGAATCCAATTCTCTAACTACTGAGCCACGATTGCTATAACACAATCCATCCCAGACAGTGGTACTCTCAGATACCAAATAAGCCTCCCTTCCCCATTTACTATTTGTGAACTCCATACTAACTCAGATTTATATTTTCAAAAGGTTTTTATTTGATACAAGGGGGGGGGGGGCTCCCGCTATGGCTTCTCCCAATATCTCCCCCTATGGATTCACCCCATTTGCACATTTTGAAAAATTTTTTTTTTTGATTAAGACTTGGTGTTTGCAGCCTTTTATAAAAATAAGCACGCAATTTCAAAAAAAAAAAAAAGTTTTAATGCTAAACTGGTTAAGACAATATAAGTCTGAAATTCAAGCAAAAATTAACTTAAGAAAATCGCTCCCTCCCAAACTATTGTTTTGGATTTTTTTTTATAAATATAAACTAGATTCTGGTCATTATCTTTTACACGAAACATATGCAAAATTTAATAAAAATTATACCTATGCTAGCTATTCTTGATAACTACAATGTACTCAATGTCAACTAAAAATAAAAAAAGGAATTTGGAAATTCAAAACTAATCTGAATATTCTTGGTGATGTTCAGATTTATCTGCATCGACTTAATCAGCCAAATATTTCACAATCTGTATCGGTGACTAGCACCAGCCTATTTTATTGATTTGCTAATTTTTATTAGCCAATTCGAAGAATACAAACCGTTGAAAACAAATAGTAGTAAACTATGATTTTATTAATACATTTTAAAAAGTTTGATTTATTGAGTAATAACTAAATTCAGACAAAAAAAAATCTAAAGAAATCAAATTTCTGACCATTTATCACTCACAGTACAACGGGTGAGAATGTATCTGTCTGGAAGGTATTTGTTTAAAGCACATGAACCACGTCAAGGTTCCTTCCTATTCATGTGTACAATTTTTTATGCAGAACGACTGAAGGTGTATGACAGAAAAATACACAATCAATTAGCAAACTGCTTTTCCTAAAAAATAAAAATGTGCAAGTTATTTAGTAATATTGTTCAGGAGAGTTCCTTGAACAATAATACTAATAATAACAATATAACAATTGTAACAATATAACAATTTTTTCTAAAACAAACATTCCCTCAGAAAGTAAACTGCTAATTTAATGAAATAAAAATTAGGATAAATAATATATTGTACTGAACTGTTTCAACCAGAAAGGTTTTCCATTACTCTTTATCTACTAAAATAAAATGTTTTAATCTTTATTTTCACTAACTTTGGATTTTAAAGTTGAAAAATATATTTATGTCCAAATGTATTTTTAGAAAATAAAATATATGTTTTTATCCTACATACAAATGAATGCAATACACTTTTAGTGTCAATTAGATTGACACTAAAAGTGTATTGCATTCATTCAAATAATTCAAAATTATTTGATTTCACTACAACATTTATAAAGATGTTTGAATATTTAAACATCCTAAATAATTAATAACAATTTAAAATGTATTCAAACTCTGAATCACTTTAAGTTCTCACAAAAGATTTAACTTGTGATTATAGATTATAGGGATTATAGTAGACAAAACGAAGTCATATTCACAGAGATTTTAAGTGATTTATATGCTTAAGTCAACAGTCTTTAAACTATTAAATGTGTATAAATGTTTACAAATAAACCTCGTCACAAACACTTTGACTTATTTGTATAGAAACATAACCATTTCTTTGCATTAACTTTTTGATAACTTCTTAATTATCTGAAACTATATCTCTATGTGTATACATCAATGTTAAACCAAACAATCTCCAGACATAGTTGATCTTGACCAGGTTTTTAATCTGCGAAAATTTGAAAAAGATTATTCATAAGAACACGATGTCACAGGTGAAGTTGCTAATAACTGCAAACAAACAAAAATATTGGCAAAAGTTTTTATACATGAGATTGACTTTATAGTATCAGACGTTTGGAATGGGATAATTAGTGGTAGTCCAGTATACCTCCTAAAGACCACACTCTGCATCTAAAGCTAATGAATTTGACAAATCTTCAGAATAAAAATCAGAAAAAATCTTGAAGCTCTCCCTCCAATCTTAGTCAATATATGTGTTTCATCAAAAACAGCTCTAGCCACAACCAATGAAATAATAAATTCAAAGGTAGTGACCAACTTCAATAAAGATGTAGCTATTTGGGAGTCTGCCCCAAACTTATTTATGTCATTGCTTATAGCTTCAAGGGAATAAACTATTGGAATATACAACTGCTGAAATGTATCCAAACCATCTATTCTTTCAAGCCACCTAGTTCAACTATATCTTTAAGTTTTTTTCCCTTTTTATCAGGATAGTGTTCTAAAATCATTGTCTCCAAGACAGAACTTCTTTTGATAGAAAGATTAAAATAATAGAAAACCTCTTTTACATGGTTCATTGCATTACAGAGAAGTTGAACTTTGCAAGAATTACACACTGCTAGATTTAATCGAACACTAAAACAATGGGTGTATAAAGCCTTGTTGTTTAACTTTACAATTTTTGTAAATAAATCCATAGCTAAAACCACTAACTAGTTTTTGCATTTGATATATAGTTCGCACTGAAACATTATTTTACAAGTTAATCTGTAAGATTAACTTGTGATTTGCTAGCAAAATATGAATAACTTGATACTGATGCTAATCTGATGAAAACCTCTGATTAAATAACTTAATGTAAATAAAGCAGTATAAACAAATAGTAACTTACAGAATAGGTACTAATTTATCCGATTTTGCATTTTTGTTTAAGTAGGCTTCAGCGCAAATATTTCGCTTAAAATTAATTAATGAATGCAAAAAACATAAAGAATCAACTTGGAGAGAATACTTCTTGTTAATCTTTTCGAATGTAACTTTATCGCTTCTCTCTAATGCAATTCGCACATTATCAAAAATCTTAGACATCTTAAATTAGAAAAAAAATGAAATGCTAAGAGTATTATTTTCAGACATTTTATGCGTAAACTATATCTCAATCAGCCAAATTTCAAGGAAATTGTTTAAATTTTTTTAATTTCCAGACTAAACTTAACCCAATCGGCCAAATATGCCGAGCTTTCTTAATTAGATCAGATCGCCTCAGATTAGGCGGCCTTAGGCATAAAAACCAACCGGCTAAATTTTAAGTAAATTGGGCTAAATTTCCGATTTTCCAGATTGCCTTAGATTAGGCAAAAAAATTTTCGCCTAATACATAAAAAAGCCATTTCGCCAATCATTATATTTAACACTCTATAATATAATATTTCTCCTTATAATATAATATTTCTCTTTAGGCGGCCGCCTAATCTGCAGTACTGTAGATCCGCTGTCGTACAAATTTATTTTCCCCATAAATTTATTTCCGAGTAGCACGCCGATTGGTTAAAAAGGCCACCCGAAATAACTAAACAACGCCATACAAACTAAACAACAACACCCGTAAATTTTCTTCCTATCCTGATTAGAAGTGAGTTTAAATTTAGGTTTTAATAAATAAATTAATAACTTTCATGCCAAGTATGATATATTATTTTTATATTTTTTCTTAAGCAATGCCTAAGATCAATGCAAAATCTCAAGAGCTACGTCTTGAAGAGATAAGACAATACGTATTAGAAGGAAAGTATGCAAATACTGTTTTGAACTGTGAAAAACGTGGGCTCAGAATAGCTGCAAGAAATTTTAAAGGAATAGGCAAGTGAATTTTAATTATTTGGTATCTGTAGTAGACCCGATTAAGACTAATACAAGTAATTTAGTAGTAAGGTTTTATATTATCTAAAATATAATGGAACACAATATACATAATCTAAATATAATAACAATATTGCAATATCACAGTATCTAATAGTTTCCACTTAGTTTTAAATATTTTGTTTTAAGTTTAGGATTTTAACATATGTTTGAACTAAGTTTTAAAATTTGGTTAAATTTTTAGATGGACGTTTGTACTATATTCGAGATGAATCTCTACGACTTGTTTTGTATAGTCAAGAAGAAAGAAAAAGGGTTCTTAAAGAATGTCATAATGATGCTGGTGGGGCACACCAGGGAATAGTAAGAACTCAAAATAAAATCAAAAATTTGTACTATTGGATGTCAATTACATCTGATGTTGAAGCATGGGTTAAGTACTATTTGCTTTTTACGAAGGCTATATGTTTATTTTCTTAATAATATAAAGATAATAAACATGAAACTATCATTATTAATATAAAATATAAATGCAATATTGTACATGCAATAATAATATACACTATAAATTGTATTATTCTAATTAAATAATGTATAGTCTATTATAGATTTTCATACTTATGGTCCGCCAAAAAAAGTAATTACAGATCAAGGAAGAGAATTTGTGAATGAGGTAAAGACTAAAAAAGTTTCTAAAACTTTTGTTTTCTTTGTGTTATTAAAAATTTATTGTATTTGTTTTTTTTATTATTTTTTATGTATAGCTTAACAATAAAATTTTTCAATTAATGGGTATTAAACATTCTGTGACATCAGCATACCATCCTCAAAGTAATGGTCAAGATGAACGTACAAATCAAACTTTTAAACGTGCTTTAAGCAAGTATACTAATAATGAGATGAATGACTGGGATAGGTTTAGTAGTCTATATTCTTATTTCATTTTCCTTATATATGCACTATAATTTATTATTACAATAATTTTTTTTATGACTTGTATTAGTTACACATCTGCAATTGCTTATGGACTGAACATATCATGCCAGAAATCTACAAAGATGACTCCGTTTTATCTAAAGTATTTAAGACATCCTCCAGGTATTGAGATGATAAATGTTCTAAATGAGACTGATGATTCTTTAAATAGTAGTTTTCTTGAAAAAATATCTGACTCTACATTAGAAAAGTTAGTTAATGATTGTAAGGCTGTTGAGAAAAAAGTTAGGGAAAATATAAAAATTGCTCAAGAAAAGCAGTGTAAGCAACATATGAAAAAAGTTGCAAAAAAGGGTATAAAGACATTTACATTTAAAATAAATGATCAAGTGATGAAGTTAAATGCAAGAAAACGAGGTCGCAAAGGTGAGCCTTTATCTAAGGAGTGGATGGGATTTTAACATAAAAGGTCAATGCACTTTAAAAAACTTTAATGGTGAAATTTTAAAAACAAAAGTAAACGTTTCTCAGCTGAAACCTTATTATCCATGTCAAGACATAGAAACTAATATTCAACATTTAGAAGCAACTTATTTAGATTTGTCATACAGTAGTTACCCTGCAACAAATACAGTCAAAAAATCTGAACCTGGTCAAATAACGTCATCACAAAATCAATTTTATATTAAAAACATTGACTCTATTGATACTTATTTATCCAAAAATAGCATTACATTTAGTGTACCAATATCTGCATTTGAGAGTATATTGAATCAAAACATGTTAGGAGATATTGAAATTAATGCTGCTCAAGTAATATTGAATCAATTTCCTGATATTCAAGGTATGCAAGACACCTTATTAGGAACAAATCTCATGTTCTGTATACAGTCACAGGAGATGCTACAAATTTTGCATGACGGATCCCTTCACTGGTTGTTGATTAGCACACTTGGTTGCAGCGATAGAGTCGTTAAAATTTATGACTTAATGAAGACAGAAATGCCAACTTTGCATGTACAAAAACAAATTGCTTCAATTATATCATGTTCTAAAAATACAGTTATGTGTCAATATCAATCATGTCAGCAAAAAGTTGGAGGAATTGACTGTGGTTTGTTTGCAATTGTATTTGCAGTAGATATTTGTATGGGACAAAATGTTGCATCCATTTCGTACTATCAATCTGCAATGCACCAGCATTTACACAATTGCTTCAAAGCTAAGCATTTTACATCTTTTCCAAGATCATATTCAGAAAGTACAGTTAATAAATGTGAAAGTTCTACGATTTTTAATGTTTGTTAATGTTCCTCTAATATTGGATTTGAAAAATTATTCAGTTTAATAGATGTGAAGCAGTCACAAACAAATATTTAGATAAAGTTAATGCATGAAAATGTCTGTTGTGTATTATTTAATAGTTTACTTTTAGTATAGCTTTGATTTATTTTAGTTGTTTATATTTTAGTTCCAGTTTTCCTTTTTTTGTTAGTTGAATGAGTTATTTATGATAGGTTTTCTCAAAAGATTATGCTATTATTTTCTCTTTTTTTTATTTAGACATTCTAGTATATTTAATGAGAATCTGCTATTTTATTTACTAGATTTTTGACTTAAATTGAAAATTTTTTTTTTTACAGTTTATGCTTTAAACTTGAAACAATTTGTATTGAAGTTTAAGTTAGTTACTAAGCTAATGTTAGTTACATTTTTGAAAAATTTGTTATGTTATTTTATCATGTCCTTTATTTTTTACATGAACCAGTTTCAAAAAACTTCTTGTATTGTTTACGCTTTTCTTATCTTTTATTTTGTGTATTTTCGCTGTTTGAATTAACTATGTGCAATACACCTCAAAAATTGTATTTTAACTAGTCCTCTAATGTTCATAATGGTAGTTTTCCATGCTATAAACGAGCTGATGAGTAAGATTTTTTTTATTTGTTTTTATTTGTTTTTTCTGAATTTCTGATTCACATTTATGTCAAATATTTTACTGTCAGTTTCAGCTGGATTTCCTTCAGCTGGATCATCAAGTAGCTTCCTGATAATACTGCTGAAAAAAAAAAATGGCATTAAAAGTTCCAGTTTTTTCTAATTTTTATATATGTGTGTGTGTGTGTGTGTGTGTGTGTGTGTGTGTGTGTGTGTGTGTGTGTGTGTGTGTGTGTGTGTGAGTATATTTAAATTAGTAAAAACACTTATCTAATTTTTAGATTTCTTCAACATAATGTTTCTCCATCAGTAGGTTCATCAGAATCATGGCTTCCTGATGAACCTACTGATGGAGAATACAATTTTAACTACTAAATAAAAAATTTAAATATGTGTGTAAATTTTGTTAGTGTATGCTACAAAAAGAGTGCTTGATTTTCATAAAAAACAAAAATGTAATAAAATAGCTTCTTGAGGATCCTATAGATGGTGAGACTGTTCAAATCATTTTTTATTTATTATATATAGTAGTATAAAATAAGAAAATATTTTTTTAAATAATACAATATAATACTATCATGATATTTTTGAATATATCACTATATAATTATATTTTTATTGCAATAATAATTGCAGTTATGCAATTAGTAACAAAAATATAAAGGAGAGAATCCAGAAATGAAGGGCTTTTTTTTTTTTTGTCAATAACAATACTTTTACAGTTTATTACAACTTAGATATGAGGTGCAAAGTCCTATGGCTTACCTTCTAGTTGGTGCACTTCGTTAAGTAAGTTAGACATTGTATGTCTAATTTACGAACAGAATAGCCAAGGCAAATTTCAATTTTTTATTATTAGTTATTTTACTAGAATCCAATCAATATATATGTGTATATATATATATATATATATATATATAATTTATATAATAAACAAACACACATGTGTGTGTGTTTGTTTATTATATAAATAATAAGTATATAATACTTTTTACAGTAGCTTTTATTAAACAAAAGATGCAAGTTCAGAGAATTCTAGTTCAGAGAAATAGTATATACAGAATTGCCAGAAAAAGTATAGTGATAAACAAATTTCTCAAGAAATAAATCTAACTCTTAAAAATGACATCTCAAGACAGACAATAAATAGAAGATTAATTGATCGTAAACTATGCTTGTATACTGCTGCTAAAAAACCAATGCTTAAACGATCAGTTCGGCTCAAACGGCTTCAATTTTGCAAAAAAAAATTTAAGATGAGTGATAATGATATTTAAAAAAATAGTATTTAGTGATGAATCAAATCATACAAAACTTTAAAAGAGTTATACGATGGTTTATCCTTTGAATATTGCCGAAATCTTTTTGAATCTAATAAAAGAATATGTAGACTTTGAATAGATAACAAAGGCGGTCACATACCATATTAACTTGACTTACAGTTTAAAGTAAAAAATAACGAGTCTAAACTTATGATCAAGATATTCGTAGATATCTTTTTACATAATTTTGTTATTTTCAAAATAAAATACTTTTAAGTAGTTTTTTTTTTGTTTTTTTTTCTTGTCTTTTATATATATTAAAAAGAATTTCATAAATAATAAAGCCTATTAAAAAAAAATTCAAGTAATAAAAATAAAGGCATTTTTTTAAATCACTTAGAAATTGTAAGTTTTATTCTAATTCTACAGTGGGTAGCCATTGAAATAGGGCCATTGAGTTTTCTACACATTTTTTTGAAATTTTTTATTATCTCCGTGACATGCTGTCAATGCATTTCTGTGCCAATTCTTTTATGTGAGGATTCCGATGCCAACCTTTATTTAGTTTTTCAATATGCTGGGTTTTATTTGTCACCAGTTGTTTTGAAGAAACCTCTCGTTTTAATAGCTCCCACAGGTTTTCTATAGGATTAAGATCCGGGGAATTTCCTGGCCAACCCAGCAGTGGAATTTTTTTTCTCTTCAAGAAACTTTTTAATGGATTTTGCCGTATGGCATGGGGCAGAATCTTGCATAAATATAAATTTGCCATCTGGAAACCATTCCGAGACTTGAGGAATGAGCTTTTGCTCCAAAACTTCTTTGTATTGGCCCTGCCTCATTGTATTTTGCACTATGTAAAGCCTTCCCGTACCCTTACCACATATAACGGACCACATCATAATTGACAATGGATGTTTTACTGTCTCGATAATGCAGTCTGGATTAAATTTTTCACCCACCCTTCGTCGCACAAATGAGTCTTTGTTGTCCAAGATCTGAAACGTGGATTCATCAGAAAAGCACACCTGAAAACAAATGTTTCAAAAAATGTTAGCCTTTCATTAATCTAAAGAAAATCGAGAAATAAAGCAAAGCATGACATGTTTAAGAAATAAAGACCTTTCTCCAATCATCAGTTGTCATATTGCGGTGTTTTATAGCCCATTTCAGTTATTTATCCTTCATGGCAGGCGTTAATTTTGGTTTTTTCGCAGGACGGTAACACTTAAAGCCTAACTCATCTAAGCGTGTCCTGACTGTGCGATCACTAATATTAATTCCAGCATCTTTAATCAATGTTGTGATTATTTTTCTGGGTTTCTTTCTATTCTCCAAGCAAATATTCCTGATAATTCTCTCAGACCTTGGCGTTGTAAGGCGTTTTCCTTTATAGTTTTTACGGAGTGTGGATATAGGGTTTTCGGCATTTTTTATTTTTGATGCTATTCTTTGCACGGTCTGCCTAGAAACGCCAATTCTTCTTGAAATTTCTCGTTGAGAATAGTTGGTGTTCCTTAAAAGTGACATTATTTCACTTTTTTTAGAAACATTAACATCTTTTTTTTTTACCCATTGTCAGAAACTTTAAAAAATCTAAAAGACAAATAAACACACTACAAAATATGTAAAAGAAAATTAAAAAAGTTGAAATAATGTATATTTTTGGAAAAACTACTTTCGAAGAAGTCTTTCACTAAATAAAACACCTAAAAAATAAAAATTTTGAAAAATAGTCGGTTAAAATAACGTTTGAAGAAAGATCCTTAACACACACACAACAAGCTTCGGCAATCTACAAATGGTAACTGAACACAATTTCACGGTTTCACTTGTCAAAACATGCAAAATACAGTGTTGCTAGCAACAAAATAGTGTTGCCTACACAATAATTTGTAATAATGTCGTAAATACTTATGAAAAATTGTGAACTTTACGTTTGAAAGGTGAATTAATGCTGATAATATAACAAAAAACGTGATGGCCCTATTTCAATGGCCACCCACAGTAAATTTTTGATTATTATGCATATTCAGTTGTTGTAGAAAGTTCTGCGAATTTATTTCCACATCGGAAATAAGTTTATGTCGGGAAACTCTTATGCGTAAGCCGCGTAATATTATTTCCTTAGTAACCGAAACTTGCGCCACGGAAATAAATTTATGGGGGAAATAAATTTGTACGACACCGCCACTGCGGTGAGATTTTTTAAAAAGAATATTTAAGAAAAATGGCTCCCTACTTAATATAGGTTGCCGACCCCTAGTAGACGAAAATACAAACATTAATTGATCGGACGGAATATTAGTTAATAAAGAATTTTTTTTAATACGTGAATATTTTATAAACAATACGTACAAAATTAAAAATATTGTAAGAAACAGATAATATTATTTACGTAAGGCTTTTCAGTTCAACTGGGATTTTTTTGTTTAAATAGCAATAGAGTTAAAATAATATTTTATGTACTTTTTCCTAATACTATGTTTTCTGATACTACAAATGCCAAAGTTGTAAAACTATCCACTGACAGTATATTCATTTTAGATTTTCCTTTAGAAGTTCTTCTGAAAATATTGAGCTTTGTTGATGCCAAATGTTTGTATGAAGTTGTTATATTAACTTGTAAATTTTTCAAAAAACTTATTAATTGCGTTGACATTCAAAAAACTATTTTTTCAATAAAGTACGACGAAAACGTTATTTCAGATGCACTATACGTAAATAGTTGGAGAACATTATGCTTTACTTATGAAAAAGTCAATAACTGGAAGAAAATCAATAAGGATGAATCTAAGTTAAAAAAACTTAAGTTAAGTGGTCATTATGCACCAGTGGATGCAGTACATATTATGCCTTGTGGAACAATTTGTGTATCAGGTATATGTACTGTAAATGAAAAAATTGTTTGCTATTTTAAATTTATTTAAATTTTATAAAATTGTATATATATACATACATGCATATATATATATATATATGTATATATATATATATATATATATATATATATATATATATATATATATATATATATATATATATATATATATATATATATATATATATATATATATATATATATATATATATATATATATATATATATAAATATATATATATATAATATATATATAAATATATATATATAATATATATATATATATATTATATATATTATATATATATATATATATATATATATATATATATATATATATATATATATATATATATATATATATATATATATATATATAAATAATATATTTATATATATATATATATATATATATATATATATATATATATATATATATATATATATATATATATATATATATATTAGACACATTTGAAAATAAGGCACCACTAATTTTTAATTTTTATAATCTCAGAGTTGCTATTCTAACTGCAAATTAAAAAATTCTTGTGAAATCAATGTTGGTTAAAGTCTAGATGATTAAAATGAAATGAACATAAACATAGTGTCAAGATGAGAAAAATACATAAGATTTTTTTCTCTCATCGTGACACCTTTATTTCTCATCTTGAGTCAAACAACTTACTTTCTAATTATCAATATGGAACCTGATCCACATGAGGGTTATAACCACAATTAAGTAGCCTCTTTGTGTACAGCTGACTTGTTAACTGTTTAATAAAGAAGAAGTGTCGACTGTTATAACAGAAAGGTTCTGTCTTGTATTAAATGGATATAGTGAGAGAAGGGCTATTAGTTTTGAAATATCAAAGGTTATCGATATAGTCTGGCATGGTAGTCCATTAGCTCAATTCATAGGGTGTATCAAATCATTCTTTTTTAACTGCAGGGTTAAAGTTATCCTTAATTCATTCATTTCTACTAACTTCTGGGTTACCACAAGGTTCCATCTTTCTGGTATTGTTTCTAATCTAGATTAATGATCTCCCTGAAAATCTTACATCTAACATGGCTCTATTTGTTGAAAACACAGTTATATACACCAATCTTGATTAAAGTTGTCACTTTTTGATTGCTTAGAATGGGCAGCTGTATTATTGTATTAACACAACTAATAGTATTATTGTATCAACAGTATTGTGTTCACAGTATTAACAGTTATTAACTGTAACAACTATCGCAATATTGTTTAGATTTCTTTATTGAGGAATGGCAATAATCTCAGAGTCAATCTAGAGTCCTCTACTTCAGAGTGCTTAAAAACAAAAGAAAACAAAAAATAATAGAAAACTTTTTTTTTTTTTTTTTGTCACTGTAAATGTCCATTCTTACCCAAATACTGCATAGCTCATTGCTTAGGATAAAACTGCATAGCTCATTTCTTGGGATGTCATGCTCTATCTATAAGTAATGAACTGGTTGCACATTTGAGGCTGATAACGATACTGATGGATAGGAAAAAGCTGATACCGATGCTGATACTGATCAATTAACTAATTAATAAAATTTTGAAAATATAAAACCATACACTTTTAAATCATGTAAACTTTTCATTGAGTCAAAACTAGTCAACAAATACTTGGAGCCAGATCTGAGCCTAACTTTAATTTTAAAAGATGTTAGTAAAGCTCAGTTAAAATAATATATATTTTTTAGTTTTTTTAACTATAAAAAAAAAACTTTACAAAAATAAATACAGTATTAGAGGAATGCTTTTTATTTTAATTTTCAAAAAGAAAATGGTATTAAGATAAGCTTTTTACTTAGAATTCTGTAACTTTATTAATTTATTAGTAATTTAGATATCTAAACTACCATCATATAGAAATGCATAAAATAATATTTGAATACATTTAGATAACAATGCTTAAATAGGTTACTTTTAAGTATAACAATAGAACAACACACAAAAAAAAATTATTCTAAAAACAACATTATGGTAATAAAACTATTAGTACATTCAGCTGTTAAATTAAAGCTTATTAACATCATCTTAAGAATAAAAAAATTTGCCATTAACAAAAATCAATATAAACAATTTCTCAAAAAAATTCTGAGTAATGCATAAAGTTTATTTTATTTATTATTTAATTGATATCATAAAGCAGGATGAAAATATTAAAAAAAAAGTGATTGATTAAGCCGATGCCAATTAATCAGTGCATCATTACTATCTATGAATGAGTCAAGTTTTCTTTAAACTTAAATGATCTTATTATCTCTCCCTAGTTTATGGCAGAACTATTTGCACTTTTTTTCTTAACTCTTGGTTCTTATGGCCATACTTTTCTTCCATTCCAATGAAACATCTTAACCCATTGTTTGACAAACCACTCCAGCCTCTGTTGCTAAAGTAATAACTCAATAAAACTCTTCTATGGCTTGTGATACAGACAAGATTCCTGTCATAGTTTTACAAAGGTGTTCTCCAGAACTGAATTTTGTTTTCCTGCCTGCTGGAAAAAGACATTTGTGGTTCCTATTTTTTAAAAACTCTGTTTGTTCCCTTCAACTATCATATGATTAGTCTTCTATCTGTTATTAGCAAGGTCTTTGAGTTTTTGATCTACAAATTTCTAATATCTCATCTTGATTCTAATAACTTACTGTCAATTAAATCAATTCGGTTTTTGATCATGTTGCTCGAAATCTCTACGGCTGACTTGCTAACTGCTGTTACTGAAAGATATTATTGTGCATTAGATGGAGGTGGCAAGGCTATAACTATTGCTCTTGACACGTCTAAAGTTTTCAAATGTTTGAAATGCTGGTCTTCTCCATACGCTTGCTTCCTATGGTGTATCTGGGAAAGTTTTTGAGATTATCAAATCATTTCTTTCTAACTACTTTATTAAAGTCATCCTCAAAGGCCAACACTCTTCTTCATTTCCAGTAACTTATAGGGTGCATCAAAGTAACTTATAGGGTGATCTCAAATCTCACTATAGGAAGTGCCTGGTGTCCTGTTCCTGGTCAAATTTAAGGTTTTTTATAGCCTTGGCTAAACAATAATTATAGCAAGGTTTATTAGCCCGGGCTAGGATATATTTTTTTATAAATTGCAAATTTTGTACTGCTCTTGTTTTATTTCAAGCTATAAAAGTTAAATAATATATCTATTATGAGTAAAAGTTTAGAAAAGCTACACATATATTTAAATATATTTTAAAATATTCATTTAAATTTTATACTTATAATATAATACGTTACAATAAAAATTTACAATGTAAGTTTAAGTTAAAAATTTGCCATTTTTAGAAAATCTATGTTTCTTATATATTATTCTTATATATTCTTAAATAATTTCTTTTTGTCTTACTAGTTATTACTATTTTTATTATTATTGTTGTTGTTGTTTTTGTTATTATTGCTATTATTATTATTACTTTATTTTTGTTTCTCATTAAAAGTATATATATTTTAAAATATTTTTCATTAGGCCCGGCGCCAAAACATTTTTTTTACCCCGGTGGGTAAAAAAAATGTTTTGGCGCCTCAAAATAAATTTTAAATTTTGTAATGCATTTTGATGCAAATTTTTGAATCGAAGGTTATGAGTAAAATTATCTTGAAAATAGTACTTTTCAAAAACAATACTTCTAAACAATGTCAATGTTTGGTTAGCAGGAAATTAAACATGCATGAACAGGGCTGCCAGAAGTTTTCATTTTGCCCTGAGCATAGTAGGAATTAGGCGCCCCTATAAGCATGCTTTTTTTTAAATTAATAGCATGTACAATATTATGACTGTGCTTTTATTTATAATATTGTTAATTATCATCCATGTTTTCAAGAAAATCTGTATCTTATCTGGATTAAATAACACTTTTGCAACAAATTCACTGATTAGGATTATTTAGCATATTCTTTATAATTACAATTGAAAATACTATTTTTTTTTTGCTTTTTTACAAGCAAAAACTTTTATTATTACTATTTCATCTTTCAACAGAGTTGTATCTAATTTATTCAACATATGCGATATACATTCGTACAACAGAGTTGTATCTAATTTATTCCAACATGTATGTTCAATAGACATGTAACTGAGTTTTGTCGGAATTAGAATTTTTAGTATAAAAAATAACATGCATTTCAACATTTATCGATTTTTATTATTATTATGTAGCTAAAAGAACTCAAACTCCTGTTCAGATTATTTTATTAGCTTTAGGGGTCGCCTAAATAAATTGTCACATTCTAAGGGGGGGGGGGGGAGTATTAGCGGTTTTGTGACGACTCATACAGGACTTGTTACTAAAGTGTCATGATATTGTGACAAGGAGGAAGGGGAGATGGGGTCAAAAATGGTTGAAAATTGCTTGACGTAATTTATGGGCGACCGCTTAATAATAATCTTAAATAATTTTTTAATTAACAAGCATCTTTTTATTTATTTATATCTACAATTTTTAAAACAAACTGAACAAATTCATAAATAATAAAATGGTATACAATTTAAAAAGTCGCAAATATGAAGTTATAACGATTTATCGCAAAATATATAACGCAAAATATGATAATTAAGCTATTTTAGTAAAACAATAATATGTACTCGCCCTTGAATAAATGCAATCACTTCGCAATGGGCGAACATTTTTTTTTTAAAAAAAAAAGAACAAAATTTAATTATATAAATTAAATTAAAACAAAAGTTGGATAATTAAAAAAAAAAAAAAAAAATGTTTAAAAGAAAGAAAATAAGCCGAGTGAATAAAATAAGCAATTGCCTTTATTCAGCAATTGGTCAGCTTTACGTGAACAAATGCTTTATCAATTTTACTCAATTTTTTATTCTCGTAAAGCTGAACAATTACTCCAAAAAGGCTGAGTAAAAACAATAGCTTTTTTTTATTCACCTGACTTTGAATAATATAACAAAAAAACAACAACAAGACAGTGACAAAGTAACTATAAAAATTAAGCATACTCTCGAGTTCTTAATAAAAAGGGTGGGGTACATTTATTAATTTTTGAAAAATTTTCCCACCCACATCAAGCTTATTAAGACCTCCCCATTTATTAATTTTCATTTGTTATCAGCAAAATTTTTATATCTCAAAACTAAAAAAAAAAAAAAAAGTCAGTTGAAAATCGGCCTTAAAAATCAAAAAATAATTCTTTAACTCTCTGATAAAAAC